AGGCCTGGGAGAATGAGATGGAGGCCCTACTGAAGGTATATTCATTATCCTTCCTACTAACCTTGTCTGACGCTTTTCGAAGGAAATGTTCAATTCTATCCGTAGTCAACAAATTCTTCAACCGGTTGTGAACACTGGGTTGGAACGATCCAACTCATCTCTTAGCCCTGGCGCACCCCATACATCTCTGCTGCGTAATGGAAGTCGGCGTGGACAATCCTCAGACAGACTCGCAACACTCAAACGCGGCAGCATACGCGGATTGCAAACCCTCATGGGCCCACATGCAAGCCCTTACAGTAGTAATAGTAGCATTGATGGAAGAATAAGCCCATCTCCCAGTTTTGCTACTTCAATGGGCGACGTAAGCACCATAATTGACAGCTGACAATGCCGTATACTAATGCCTCTTTAGGGCCTCTCTGCTTCCAGCTCTTCGTTCTTTACGACTCCGACTTTAGGCTTCGCTTCTAACCTGTCACATACCATCATTCGGGAGACTCAGGAAGATGATTCACATAGTGTTGCCAGTGATGATTCTATCTCAACAAGCATCAGTGTGACAGATGCAGAGCTGGCGCTTCTTGGCCCACCTTTCGCCAAAGAAGGTTCTCTCTCCCGTAAACACTTCTGGGAAAGCGAAGGGAAACGTGGAAAGGATAAATCCTGGATGGAGGTCTTTGTGGTCATCCAAAAGGGGGAATTAGACATGTTCACCTTTGGGACGGGGGGAGGAAGCCTTGGCGGACAGGTCGTTGGAGGTGGAAATTGGCTCGTGAGTTGTCAACATTATTTGTCTTTCACAGATCTCATGGCCATATAGTCCAATGCTTCCAACGTTGGCCGCTTGTCGTTGGCCCATTCATTGGCCCATTCATTACCACCTCCTGGCTATAGTCGGCAGCGGCCACATTGTCTTGTATTGACTTTAGCTTCAGGGGCAGTTTACTTCTTCCAAGCAGGTACCGAAGACCTTGTGAACGAATGGGTGTCAACGTGCAATTACTGGGCTGCCCGTCAAAGCAAAGAACCATTGCCAGGAGGAGTGTCTAACATCGACTATGGATGGAACCGTGTTATCGATGCCGCCTCTGATGACAGAAACACGGGCGATCAGTTTGATGCAATGAGCATACGGAGCGGCCGCAGTATGTTCAGTAAACGAAGCATACCCGAAGGCTTATCCAGATTGGCGTCTTCACCCCATTCCGATCGAAGTTCTATCAGTGAATGGAGGCCTCCGCCGCATTCCACAGTTCCCAGTCAATATGATGAGGAAACCCAATTGGAAGCCTTGCAGAAACAGGTCAAAACCCTCAACGAAGAGCTGGAAGCGCATCACGCGCTTCAGATCCCTATGCTCGGTCTTGTGAGTGCATAATTGTCCCTACGAGCATTTCTCATGCATTAGTGCAGTATCACATAAGAAGTCAAAATCACGCGAAAGCGAAACAAAATTGGGAGAAAAAGACCCAATTTTTGACGGGCGAAATCGTGAAATACGAAACATACGTCGATTCTCTGAAAGCGGCCATGGCGATTCGACTGAAGAAAAGGGGTGAAAAGGTGTTGGAAAAGGCTCTCGTTAATAACAATGTGGAGGACGGGGCCTTTGATCGTGGACACCAAACGCGATGGCCTGAGTTTTCCGAAGATGCTATCCCGGAGGCCGACGAACCATCTACTCCGGCTGGTCCTGAAACTGCATTTCCCCACCGACGAGACACACTGGACGATGGTTCGACGGAGGAGTAACCCAATTAATGTGCTGTTTTTATTTTATGTTTTTGCATCCGGAGATATGCGAATTCTTGTTGGAAGTCTAATACAGTAGCCCTCTTGTTGAAACGCGATCCGCCTGTACCTTTGGTTTCAGTAACCATATATATAATGCCATACTAGTACTACCGATGGGACGAATTAATTCGATGCTAGCCTAATGTTATTTCTCTTTGCGACTGACAGACGAATCCTTGTCTGATTCTACGGCAGTAGCCTTGACAACTCCATCAGCATGTCCCTCGGACCTGGGTTGCTCGTGATCTTTGCTGTCTGCTTCGTCCGATTTCGTGATCGTCAGACTGCTCGAAGAATCTGTCCATTCGAACGCCTGCTTCAATTCGCCACGAATAGACGCGGTGACGATGAACGAAAAGATACAAGCCGGGCTGGTTTCAAATCATAAGACGAACAGTCAAAAGGAAGAAGACACTGGTACACATGCCTGAGATACAGTAAAGCCGGCTGTGCGGCTTTGAAAAAATGCATAACTCCCATAGTCGTGCTCAGTCCGACCACGTATGCGACTACTGCGACTGTAAAATAGGGTTTCGAAAAGGGCCGTCGATAGTCACGATGGCCCGAACGAGAGAGGTCATAACGTAACGCTAGGGCAACGAATGTTCCCGGGATAACAATGTCGCCAAGACCGAGCATAGCAAATCCAGCATCTGAGGATAAATAGGGAGATTTCGGCCACAGAATTTTCATAGGAGCATCAAGCCCGACAGCCACTTTGACCATCTGGAACGGTCTGAATATATATCTGATTAAAAACTGACATTCACGTACCACTTCAGTTCCGAAAACCCACCAGATATCATAGATGAAAAGACCGGAAAGAAGGATACATCCTGTCCAGAATCCATCCAAGCGAAGAAGAGACAGGGCGTTGTGAGCAAATGACATTGCCAATATGTCTGTCAGGAGAGCAGGCTTTTTTGCCTCTGTTGACCAGAAATACATGGCAGACGGAACAGCTGAAACCGGGAACAGCACAATAGAAGGTATTCTGAAAGAAACCTTGGATAGGTCTATGAGGCATATTAAGACAAATGAAGATATCCACAGAGACAAGACGTATACTTTTGGAATCCTTCATTAAAACGAAGGAATATCTGGAAAAGGCCTTCCACCGCGTGCCCATGCAATAACGTAATATAGTCAAGGATGACTACATGAAGCTGTTAGGGAGACGTATGGAGATGCAGGGGTATTATTACCTTCCATACGCTTCCGATTCCAGCAACAGTGAAATATAGACCCAATATGTAGTTGATGATTTCAGTGCCAAAGTACTTGATGAGAAAATAGAATCCTAGCAGCACCACGGAACCAATCTGGAGACGTTTCGTTGAGTGAGATGTGTTTTGAACGACCATACTCACTATCGGAAAGATGTATGCATCGGCCGCGGAGAGTCTGTCGTCGAACTCGTCGTTGTCCTGATCATCTTCATCGTCGTCAACATTAGGTTTCTGACCGTGCACTTTTGGAGGTTTCTAAATCCAGACAAGCATTAATGCTCGTCACAATTCACGTGTTGATCCACCGACAGCAAGTGAAGACCATGAACCTGTGTAGATGCTGAATGTAGCAAGCGAGAGTAAACCAATATAAGCCGCGACCAACCCTTCGGTGGTTGCTGCTACCTGCGACATGAGTATGATTACGTAACTAAGTACTATGAAGCGATCGACTGCTGGCTAAACTGGCGTGGGACGTTCAAATTGCTCCCGTCAGCCATCTGTGACGTTAGAGCCGTTATCCGCATATCAAGGCTGTCAAAGTTGCCTTGTACCACTTTGTTGTTTGATTCCATGCTCCCCTCTATTCCGGCAACGGCTTGACTGAGATCCGTGAGCGACCTTCTGACACTTTGTTGATCGGCTTCTAGAGAGGAAAGCGTCTCGTCAAAGGCAGAGGCTGAAGCGTGTAACGCGGAAAGAGTTCGCAACCTGGCCAGGATATGTGGAATTTGGTTGAGGTGAGGGGCCAAGCGGTTCAGGATTGGCAAGATCGTTTCCTGCATGGAGGAAGGCTGCGATGACGAAGCTGCCTTTTGACTTGAGTCTACGGCATCTAATGATTGGGGGCCTGATTGTCTTCGAGCGCCTTGCTTCGACGGTGTGGTTTGCGCGTTCGATAAACGATCAAGATCTGGTAATAACAGCTTCAATCGCCGAGAGATAGAGTCGAGGTGGCGTGGTTGTGTTAGTAGGCTCAGAAGGGTATTCAGACGCGTATACATAGGCAGAAGTGGCGGTGATAGTGGAGAGGCCTAGAACAGATATCAAAATTAGCATGCATGCAATCAAGCACCCCGGAACTGACCTCGTCCAGCGTCAAGGCAGAAGATCCCAATATCTTCTCCAATTGGCCTAGTCTCTTATCGATGTCTGAAACCGCCTGCACGTCTTTGACCTTTCTCTCGTGTCCGGTGTCATCAACGCTAACTGTCTGTGCTCGCAGACTCTCTGTGTGCGATGCCTTAGACGTAGCACCGTTAGGAGTTTTCTTGCGCGCATCGCCAGAAGTTCCTACGCGTTCCAGTCTCGTGCGCATGTCTGCCAGTTCTCGTACGAGCTCTGCTGAGTTGGGTTCCTCATCCTGAGGTGAAGATGTCAAAGAAGATTGCGCTTCAGCTTCCAGTGCGGCGAGCTCGTGCTTCAAAGAATGGAGACGTTGCGAGAAAGGCGGAGGTGCAGCGGATTCTGATGTGGATGGAGTATAGGCGTACAATGATGTTCCTTTCTTGCGGCTGGACTGCTCTGCACGACGAAACCGTTCTGTGGCTTCTGCTGATTTCATGACATGGCTTCCATCCAGACCGTCCCTCAGAGTCACTTCCGGGACTTTGCTTCGTGTAGCCCTTCCTTCTTCATCCTCGGATTCGGACTACAGCGTTGTCACTGAGTGTTACTGAAGGAGAAGGTGGTCAGGAATAGCCTACGCCTTGTGAAGCCCCAGGAAAGACATCGGGAGTCTCGTACAGATCAGGTGCTGTGTCCTTGACAAAATAGTGTGAACGAGACAAATCGCTACGCCTGAAAGCTGAACAGCTGCAGACGTACGATATCTGGTAAATTTGCATACTTGGCTGCACTCATAGCGTATGTAGAAAAGAGTAACGCGTGATCGGCGGTCTCGAGGGTCTGGAGACTCAGACGCGGCCGTGAGAACAAATGAAAGAATATCAAAAGCTAAAAGTTCAAAAGGAACGTCACCTGTGCGATTCGAACACACGCGTGCAGAGCACATCCGCTTACCACTAATAGCAGGCGAACCCGTTAACCACTCCGGCAAAGTGACTTAGAACTCCTGACTCAAATGGCCGTATATAACCAGTTTCAAACATCTACCATTTGTCTCGACATCACTGGCAAGATTCCGCTAAACGAAACCCAGGTCCACATCGCCATGGACCATGACTGCAAGTCATGAACTGAGGCTTATCACGCTCTATGCGATATGTGCTCGTTTATTTTTCATCACATTGATTGTCTCAGCCTCGTTGTTACCCCCTTTCGACAGCTCGCACAAGACAATTCTTCCGGCTGCTGATCCTCGTTCTCTGTTCGACGTTTTCGTGGGGTCGCTCCTGCGATGGGATGAGTTTTATTTTGCAGATGCCTCCAGAAACGGATACCAGTATGAGCATGAATGGGCATTTTTTCCGGGTCCCTCTTGGGCCAGACGGCTTGTAAGATCAGTATGGTCGACCGGAGGGAGGCGAACCATATCGTCTCTGAGTGAAGCCCTCTTTACCGGCGCCCTCACCAACTGCCTGACCGTTTGGTCCGCAAGGATCCTGTATCTTATCTCTGTCGAGTGCACAGGAAGTGCCTCTGTGGCACGTATTTCCGCACTTCTGTCGCTACTGCCGTCGAGCCCAGCAGTTATCTTTCACGTTGGATATACTGAACCATTGTTTAATTTGTGCTCCTATATGGGTATGCAGAAGAATACGTTGCCATTCAAATGACTTACTATTCTCAGGCATGTTAAACTGTATGAACGCGAAGTGGGCTCAGGCCTCTTTCTATTTCATGCTGGCGAACTCCTTTCGTTCGAATGGCGTTTTGCTAGCAGGCTTCTTCTTGTGGGGACTAATAGCCGATCCATTTTTAAGGAAGCAGAAGGTTGATCTTGTGCCAATCACTGTTGACTCGTTCTCTGAAGTCTCGTTGACAGATCCCGCTGCTCAATTGCCTCAAATCTATCTTATATGCCGCAATCACCATTGCGCCCTTTGTCTATCACCAATTCACCGCATGGGTCACGTTCTGCCAAGATGATGGCCTTTCTGTAGAGTGGTGCAAACGCTTTCCTCCGCTCATCTATAGTCATGTTCAAGCAACTTATTGGAACGTCGGCTTTCTTCGCTATTGGACACCTTCCCAGATACCCAACTTCCTAATCTGTTCCCCGCCTCTTCTCCTTTTGTTTTGGTCTTCCACCGATGTCATTTCGAGACTCTTCCGCAGCCATACGCAAAGCGGACTGGCCAAACAGGCATCTATGGTGCTTCCGCATATGGTCCCCCATGCCATCCATGCCTTCGTATTGACCAGTTGGATCCTTGTCGCGGCGCACACACAAATAATTTTGAGATTGGCGTCTTCGATGCCCTTCTTGTATTGGAGCGCTGCCAGACTGATTTTAGAGCAACCAAAGTTGGGAGCTTGGTGGGTGGGATGGAGCGTTACATGGGGTTGCATTTCTTCTATACTCTGGGCGGTTTTTCTTCCGCCGGCGTAGTCGTGCAGAGATTATTAGTCGCGTAGTAGAAAAATTGACAGGCTGGAATTTTTTTATTGCATATACCCTGATGACCCAAACGCGATCCCGTGACCTCATCCGACGCGTCCGAGTCTCCCAAAACCAAGTGCGACCCCTGGGCCTGTGTTCTGACGGTGAAGCCATGCTCTGGCCATATGGGTTATTAGTGTCTCTTCCCCTATGTGCTGCCCATATCATGCCACCCGACACATATGATGCGTCCTTCACAAGCGCAGATGGTATGGTATCCTTTCATTCTCGCGCTCTCTTTGCTCTGAACGACACGTAGCGGCTCTGTTCAGTAACGATATGAAATATCCTCCTAGGGACTGTGAGTCTAACTGATGTCTATCTTCATGTCACTGACGGAAGGGCTTCTAGTGATGTTACTAGACAAACACTCGAAGAAGCCAGACTGTTTTCTTCAGACGGCTGGATCGATCAAAGCGAAATGCAAGGACCTGCCTCTAGACGAGCCTGAAAGAATCCGAGGTACCCCTATCCTTGAATTGATATTATGCATACTCATTCATTACTCTGAAGCTGCTATCTCCCTGACAATCTGTGAATTGTCAACGGCCCGACGTCATTCAATCCCACTCGAATGCAATATCTTCACATCATCCACAGGGTCGGGCGATGAGGACTCAGGGGCATGTGTTGAGTAAGCAATCTTCAGCACACTAGCTGTCAAACCTGGCAATGATATATACACCTCTGTAGAGCCCTCGCGCGAAGTGCACAATCTTGGTCAAGTTACTCAGGATATCTACGAGAAATTCGTGCGGGTTCTCTTCTACGAGATACCAAAACTCTCGCCTAATATTTTGATTACAGCTCAGCTTTGTTTCGCGGTTCAAAGTGCACGTGGAATCGGCAAGTCTGATATCTTGACGTTTAGTTGCAATCCCCTCACCTTCCACAGATATTGCAAAGTCTCTCTATATCAATGCAACCCTTGGAGGAATCTCTATGATTCAGCGACTTGAAGCACAGGAAGCGCGTCACTCAGCTCATCTCAAAGCCACTGAGTCTTTATTAGAAGTGGGCATCATTACGTCAACGACGTTGCAATGTCGCTCATTATTCTGCCAGATCCTTCTTGAGACCTCGCAGGGATTGGCCCAGCTTCCACAAGCTTTGCGAACGTTACCTGCAGAAATCCTGCTTGAAATCCAACAGGGGCTAAACCATGTCTGTCAACGTCCCTCGTTTTCTACTGATCCGATTTGAATAGCCTGCAGATTAGTGAAGAAGCTATCATGGAAATTTCGGCCGGAATCAAACAATCTTTCACCGCTCAAAGTGCCATGCTGTCCTCAATGCATGAAGGTAGGCGTGAGCCCTTGTCGATTCACAGAAACCTCACTACAACAGGCTGGTCATCTTCATTGGAACGAGTAATCTCTCCCCTTTTCCAGTCCGGCAAATGCAGATGCTTACGTGTTGCCAGCACGACGAACTTCTACAGGACATGCTACAAGGGTTTCGGCACGAAATGCACTCTGGGTTAACAAGAAATCTTCAGTTTTTAGACGACCAAACACGGACTACGTCTGAATTGCAGGTCGGCATGCAGTAATCTGACTGACAATCTGAATGACAGAAACCATAGGCTCGCGGGTGGCATGAGCTGACAACAAACTGGGATAGCCTTGGACATGTCTGCATCTCGACGACTTTCCTGATGCACCTCGAACTGACCCTGACGGCGCGTAGGAAATGTTGGCCCTATCTGCAGCGGCTATCTCGAGTGCTAGTTTATTGCATCAACAAATGGAGCTCGCGCGGCAAACTGAAGCAAGTTGCGAATCCTTAAAGACTGTGTGCCGTGGCTGATCTATCAAAGGAAATGACGACGAATACCTTAGATCACCTCATAAAACTGACTGATGGGCTCGATGAGCTGACCGCGTCCACCCACACAGAATTGACTCGCTTCAACAACAGTATTCGTGAAATTGAAACGGGCTTTCTTGCTCGGCGGACATCTTATCTCGATACTTCAATCTGGCAAAGCCTCGGTACTTCGCTCATCGGCTTTCTCTTCCGGGGTGCTTCATATCAGCCAACCGTATTCGGTGTAAATGGCGAACTTTCCTGGCTGTCGACTTCTAGCATTTACTATATGGTATCCGGCCTTAAGATTGCGTGGTATGGTACCAGTCTCGTGGTATCAGTTTTGTCGGTATGTCCTGCGTCCATTTCTGAAATGCCATTCTATAACACTTATCAGAGTTCCGTGTTTGCGATGCTATCCTTATTATACACCTTTCGAAAGTGAGTGCACCAAGTGATCCCTATCTAACTCCAACTGTGGCTAGGGCTAGACCTGCAGCTTTCAATGTAAAAAGACAGACCTCTCGTATCCAGACTAGCGCTATGTCATTGGCTAGAAGCGAAACCGTCCATGCACTAGAGCCTCGGACCAATGATCTGTCTTATCACTGGACTCGTACTGGTAGGCAGTTGTGACAACTGAGGCTAATTCACTGAGGTTGGGGAAGTCACTGCCTTCATAATCTTATTCGTGGAGATGAAACGTGTAATTAGCATCGATACAGTTCGTAATAATAATCTCAAAGCAAGATGTCATGATGCCGCCCCTTTAACGGCAGCCTTCAAGCGCTGTTTCAGACGATTGCCGCCACTAGAGCCGTTGGCACTATCATCTGGCGGATGCGGTGGTTGGACAGACTGTGGCTGTACAGTCGCTCGAGAAACGCCAAAAGCCCCTTCTCCAACTTCTTCGACAGTCTCGGTGAGAGTTGCGATGCGAGTCCAACGGCGGAATCGAGTATACTGTAGAGATATTATGAGTCGTTTACAAGAAAGCCGAGAGTGTGATTTTTTACCTTCCCGATGCCACCTTTATTAGATGGCGTTTCCCACTTATTATCACTGTAAACCCAGCCTTCCAAGTCCGTCAGATGTTCTTCAATAGACTCGTCGCTGACACTGGGCGGCGGCAAGTCATCGCCCGCGGCATCACTTTCTCTGCGTCCCGAAGCTGGCTTGTCCTTGTTATCATAAACAAAGCCTTTCATTTTATCAGCTGCTCTTGCCAGTCCGTCACGTTCATCAGTGACTACCGGCAAAGGTTTCTCGACTCTCAACACAGATTGGCCGTCTGCATTCTCCTTTCTTACAACGACTTTCCATTCAGGCTCAACCCATGACCAAACGGCATGTCGGCGAATACGTAGACCTTTGCCGTCTGAGTGGAATACCGTGGTGGGAGGGGGAAGAGCGAATAGTGACGGAGGGCTGATCGCTTGGAGATTGGTAGTACACCAAGATGGTCGTTCGTTAGGAAGGAGGGCGGCAGTCCAATCCAGACCCATCCACCACCGCTGATTTTCTACACCGAATTGAATAAAGGATAGAGATCAAGGAGTATGATACGTACCAAGCACGGTGAAAATGAACTTCGGCCCCTCTTTCGCCGTGTCTGACGTTGGAGCGATGGACTGAATCACAGCAAACGAGGGGTTTTCAGGCTGTCCTGACAAGCGGGCCCACGCCCTGGC